GGAGGCTGTCCCCCTGCTCATTCATAGCAGTGACATTGTCAGTTGCTATCTGAATAGTTTTCCCAGTCAGGGGCAAGTGAAGGGCAGCAAGTGCATAGCACACTGCTCAGAGTTCCAAAACTCTGCTGGGGGACTTCTCTGGGGAACCATTTTCCACTGACTACATGATATCCAGAACAGACGGCATCTGTAGCAGGAAGGCATCCATAATCAATGTTATATTGGGAAGGGTAATACTAAAGGAGGTACATTTTAGAAGGTCTCTGTTCACTTAGAAGAAGGAGGAGGGGGAAATTGCCTGGGGATATTGAACCTCTTGGACTGTCAGCGCAAAAGGGGAATGAACTGACAGATCCCCCAGAGCTGGAGAGACCTCATGTGTAGCCTTGCATAAGGGAACACAATGGTAGTGGAGACTATGAGACCTAGCCACCTTTTTAATGAGTAAGGCTAGTTGTAACCTGACACACTGAGCTGCTTATTGTACTCCCAGTCAGCAAAAAAACCCAGTCAAGTCTGAAGTTTTCAATGGATTCTCTCTCTCCAAACAAAAGCCACACCATTTATTTTGTTGTCAGTTTTAAAACTATCCTGTTTGCTTGCATAATGCATCAGTCCTCTCCAGAGGGGGAAAGCCTTTGGCCTGGGAGGAGTCTAAGACTGTGCCTATGAAGTAGATTCTCTGAACTGGTTATTAGTCTGGATTTTTTAGAGTTGACTTGGAGCTGAAGGCCTTTGAGAGTGCAAGGAATCTTCGATGGGCTTCTAATGTCCTGGCCCCACTGCTGGACCTCCTGATGGCACTGGTATTTCTGGCCACTGTGTGACACAGAGTGTTGGACTGGATGGGCCTTTGGCCTGATCCAACATTGGCGTCTCTTATGTTCTTATGTTCTTATGAATCAGCTGGGAAAGTGAACACTGTATTTTGCAGGCTAGCTGCTATGAGTCAGTTGTCGTAGTAAGGAAAAATGTTGCACCCTAATCAACTTAAATGAGCTATAACTACAGCCATAATTTTTGAAAAGGCCCTGGGGGCCACGGCAAGGCCAAAGGGTAGAACTGGGAACTGGGAACTGGTGGGGCTGCACTGGAAACAGAGGTATTTTCTGAACTTCTAGGGTCATGAACTAGATATCTGGGTGCAAAAGAGGAAGCACATCTGACACAGAAATCACCGTGAACTGTTTTATTAGAAGAAAGTTGTTTGAATTCCCGAAGTCCAAGATAGGCCTTATTCCTCCTCCCATTTTTCCACCAGGAAGTTCAGAGACCTTGTGTTCTTCCCTGAGACAAAGTAAGCAGAAGACATGGTCTGCAGTCTGTATACCCTCTGAGGAAGTCTTTTTGAGTCATCGAAGATGACAGAGGCTTTGGAGCCAAGGGGGGCGGGGGCGGAATACGGTATTGCTGTTCTTACTTCTTTTTTATCAGAAAATGATGAAAACACCTTCATGCACAAATGGAGCTACCAGAAAATAAATCCCTCTCTGCGGCAGCAGAAAGAGAACTGAGGAAGAGGAGCTCCCCTTCCCCTTTTCATGCTGAAAAAAGGCAGAAAGCTGCCATGGGGAAAGGACGCACCTCACACGTTTAGGAGCTTTTGCATTTTTCATGGCAGACCTGTACACACACAGTACCCCTCTAGGACTGCACAGTGGCCATGGCAATGAACAGAAGTCTTGCATGTTGGAGGTTCTAGATGCAATTCCTGTCCTCTCTCCTATAAAAAGGCACCTGGTTAGAGTTGGAAACCCACCTTTGAGTCACTCCTAGTCAGAACAGATAATTTCGGGCTGGATAGACTACCAGGCAGTATAAGGTGACTTCATCTGGAAAAACTAATCAAGACTAGCGTGGACTCCAAGATGGGTAGAAATAATAACACTAGCAATGTATTTTGTCCCAATACAGATGGCATACAAGAAGCAAAGCTGATATGCCACCCTTTTACTTTCACCAGAGATGTGCCCTAAGTATCATGGCTGTGGTTGGTTTTCTAGGGGAGTTTTGTGCTCTCTCTAAACTTGAGGAGTCATGTCAGCAAATGCACCCAAATTCAGCCCGCACTCATTCACCCCCAAAACTGAAATGTCCAACTTCCTCCGTTATACTGCTACAACAGCAGACAAGAGGACGATTGCCTGCAGCAGCCTGCTGTCGGCCATATACAAGTCAGTGAGCAAAAGTGCTTAGAAGTTCTTTTAATACATTATTCATTCATTTGAATAAAAGCGTTCACTCTGTCCCTTTCAATCTGTGCTTAAAACATTTTACAAAAAGAAAATTATTTTAGAAGCAAGTAAGCAAGAGCGCCATTCTGGTTTGTCAGGGAAGGGGAAAAACAATAAAAGTTAAACAACAGAAGGTTTTCCAAATCACACTGGAGCCGCTTCTGCACAACACAGACATCTGGGAAGCATATGTACAGGAAGCAAGCTCAAACTTACACAACCCTAGGTTACTGGAATTACTAAGCAAGGAAACATTGTATTATTCTGTGCTTAAAATGTTATATATGGCTAAAGCTCAATGACAAAAACATAGTTGACAAATTCAGTCTTGAGACTTCATCTGTCAAGGTAGACATTCTTCCAGGGAGATACCATGATGTTTGTGACCCTCAGCTAACCAAGGCTGTAGAACTTCAAAACAGAGTTTTCTGTTTCACTATCTACAAATGACGTCTATGATGGTGACTCAGAGTAAGCTGTAGAGTACTAATTTTTCCCAGTGTGACTTCCAGTCTGTCATAAGAGGAAATGAATTTCCTCCGCAAAGGAAGTCTGAAAGTCATTATGCAGTTTATTTCATTAGTTTAAACGAAAAGATTTCTTTTGCATACAAATGAGAACTGGACTTTCCATTTCAGTTTTGGTGTTCGCTACATGGTTGTCATTCCTGAAATCCGTACTTATTTAATGACAGATAATCTGAACAATTCACCTACTGAAATACAGTTTTTGAGACAGGTTAAGTATTCTACGGGTACTTGGTAGCAAACAAAAGATTAAATAAGCAAGCTTTCGTATAGTAGTAAGAAGCAAACAAATCAAGAACGTAGTTCAGTGAGCCATAGCTAGTGGTAGAGCATCTGCTTGGCATCCAGAAGGTTTAATCCCCGGCATCTCCAGTTAAAAGGACCAGGCAGCAGGTGATGTGAAAGATCTCAGCCTGAGACTCTGGAGAGTCACAGCTGGTCTGAATAGACAAAACTAACCTTGATGGAGCAATGGTCTGATCCAGTATAATCAGCTTCATGCATACACTATGCATCATTAAAAATTATTAAAATGTCAAAATGATATTCCATGACCTGACTAATTGGAGCTCCTCTTCGGATTTGTTTGTTTGTTTGTTTTACAATTCATACGTGACTGGAGAAAGCTTTAGCAGGACGGCCTGAACGTTTTGCTCAGCTTCTTATTGTTTAGATGAGGAAGGGAGAGGTTGTAGGAATAGTGCTATTTCAAAAAGTAAATAAATAGAAAATAAAGCATATTTCCTTACAATGTATAAGTATCATATTTAAAATTTTAAAGCGTGGATCATTCTTTTGGTAATCGATAACGTTATTTAACAAAACAGAATCTGGGCATTATTTAGCTGGTATCCAAAGACCTACAATAACTACACTCAGGGCTTGGATGCACCCTCATAGACCTTTTACCTCTAAGTGATAGAACCCACCCTATCCAAAACTGTTTTTCAAATTGCCCTCGTCTCAGGGAGAAAATGCATTAGCAGCCCCGTAGCTACAGTGGGGCATCTTGGGGCCACCCCCCCCAACTTACCGCCGAGGCCTCCTGACTTCCCATCCAGCCGGTTTATTGTATTTTATTTTTCGCACGTGCCATAGCTGCGGTAAGCCAAGCCGTCGCTCTGCCCTGCCTGCCGTCACCCTCACCTCTCGCATCACTTTAAAAAAAAAACTTTTATTGTCTTGTCGCTCCTGACACAGCCTAAATGTGTGTGTGGGGGGTGGGGTGGGTGCCCCCGACTTATTTAAATGCCCCCCAAAGTAAAAAAACCCCCTGGCTACGGCCCCTGGGCATTAGGCAGTCTGGGGGGAGTGTTCCTGTTTGGAATGTATATCCAAAATTCCTTAGGGCACGTGGACCAAGCTGTGCTGTTCTTTGAGTCCAAATCCATGAAAATATTTTGTCTTATGAATGATAAATTTGCTATGTTGAACACAGACATGCTTACAATTGTTCAGATTCCTGTTATCCATCAGCCTTAGAGCTGCGAAGCCTTCAGAGGGGAACCAATTTTCAAATACATACGGGAATGGATGAATGGTTGCTGCCAGCTAACTGATATGGTGTCTTATCCTCCTTATTATGTGCACAGTATGAAACATACCAATATTCAAATGAGGTCCACATTCTATCAACATGATCCCAGACTACATCATTGACTTCAGGAGAGGTATAATTCCACCTCCATTCTCACAGGTCTCAAAATCTGAAAAATCTCTGCACAGATGGCAACACAATCCAAAATCAAGGTGGATTACAAAAGAGATAGACTGTTTTGTTATCTCTTTGATGCACTTAATATACAGGCCTCTTAAATTTATCTTTGCCCCCAAATAACGTGGCTAAATTCTGATTGTCCAGCTCAGTAATAACCAAACAACTGTTCTACCCTGGAGTTTCAAAGGTACAAAAATGTTCAGAATGTGTACTTAAAAGGAAATTCAAACTGGAGAAAACAAGGACAACAAAGTTTACATAAAAGATATTTTAAATATAAGATGTATTTAGAAACTGAAAAATATACAAAGAAGATTTTTAATTATCACAGATAAGATGTATAAACACACAATAAAAATAAAGAATTACACTCACAGTAGAACTGCTTAGTGAAACTGAAATACTGTCCCATCCTGATCAGAGATGTGAGTTAATGTATTTCTTTATATTTGCAACAGTAAGAATAAGTAAGCAATCATTAACTCATCAAATTACTGATAAAAGACATCAATGCAACCTAAAGTCGGCTGTCATTCACTTCATTGAGTGGACCTTCACAGTGTTTCGTCATCACTCATGTCCCAGATCTGTAATGAAAAAGGAGGAAAAATGCCATTCATTATCTCAGACATACTTTAGTAGTGTTTACACAGTTGATGGCTTAATGTAAAATATAGAATACATTCTGGTCCTTCTGAATCAAGCAGCAGCAGAAGCTCAAAGGTGATCATTTTGAAGGAGGGGGGCAATATCTCCCCTGTAAAACATCCCATTCTAATGTTTACTGACACAGAACCAAACAATTTAAACAAATAAACAACCCTTTCGGGTACCAACACAGATATGATATTAGGAACATACAACTCTGGAGAATGATATAACCTATGGTGAAACGCAAAAGTTTTTCTAAATTCAAAAGCAAAACAGTGATGAAAAGTCTAAAAGAAATTTGTTGGAAAAGGGCACCATTCCGAAGATGGAAGGCCAGCCAGTGCAAATACAAGTGGTCAAATCAGGATCAAGGATGTGGAAACAAATGTAAAGAAATTATCTGTAAATAGAACCTGAGGAAAGAGGCCCCTTTGGGCTATGTTTATTTTACTATAAACTCTTCTTAGCCAGACTGAATTTGAAACTTTTCCTCTGTTCTCAGTGTTATGGTAAATACAGCACAAAGGAGTATGGACTTGCCATGTCATTTCAAGCAAGCACTTTGAATACAGATGCTAGACTCAGGACTCTACAAATTGGCTATTTCTTATCTACAGCACAGACATGTCAGGTATGAACAGATTCCCCACAGAGTTTAGACAGCATGAATTCATTTCTCTGAAAAGCTGACGCATGAACGCATCTTTGGTTTGGGCAGTCATTTGACAATTATGTCTGCTGGACTGGAAATTTTCTTTTTGGAGAAAGAAGGGGAATTCTGTCAACAGAGAGAACTACAGCTTGTTTCATCTGAACTTCCAGGCACATGCCTGGGTGAAAGCACCAAGTTGCCACCCTGTTCTTAGACGAAATTAAACTAAAAATGAGGAATGATCTCATGATAGACTTCATTTTACTTCACCTCATGGAACACACAGAGATCTCGAAAAACTATGAGAGTCAGAAGGGGAATGGGAAGAGAAGATAAAATATTTTTCATGCTTCATACTTTACCTCTAAGCTTTTGTAAGCTATAGGTAGATATATGAATCGTGGTTAGTCTGTATACAAAGCTATGTTCTGAGCAGTAATATCAATACAGAAATATTATAACAGAATCATGGAGGAGGCAGAGATGCTGCTGACAGCAATTTTGATATCTCTATATTTTCACAAAACATTTTCGTGTTATTAAAAAAAAATAACAAAGGGGCCTCCACTGCTATCACTCACATTTGTTTCATTCCAATACAGTAAAGCTAAGGGCATTTACATGTCAAACATCTGGAACATATTCACCACTTTAACCACTTAATCCTTAGATTTCCTACAAGAGCAAAGGGGAGATTGGACTTCAGCATAATTGATGCTTAGTATGCCATTACGTCACATTACTGTTACACCACTGCAAGTATATTGTCAGAAATAGTACTTATAATTACATGGATTTTAATGGCTTTAAAATGTATGCCATTTTTAAAGGAAAACTGATTCAAAATCATAGATTGGTAAATAACATACCCTGATAATCTAAAATTAGACAACTAATAATATTTGTAACAAAAATGAGATCTTTAACTTCCAAGGTTTCATACCAAACAATAATTTAAAACCAGTTACAAAGGAACTTAATAGTCATCTGAAAGAAATTTACCGAGTCAATCTCGCAGACTGATCAGAACACTAATAGCCTGTTTCACAATGATGCAAAACCAACGCTTGAAAAGATTTTAGTGAAATGAGCAAGAAAAGATAAAAGTATTCTTCAGTTTAATATTATATCTATAAGGATGTTTACCAGTCTCCTTAACATTTTACACAAGTAAAAAAGAGCAAGAGTCCAGTTGCACCTTAAAGACTAGCAAAATTTGTGGCAGCGTATGAGCTTATGTGAGTCACTTCTCACTTTTTCAGGTGCTACTGGACTCTTGCTCTTTTCTACTACTAAGAACATAAGGACATAAGAGAAGCCAGTGCCGGATCAGGCAAATGGCCCATCCAGTCCAACACTCTGTCACACAGTGGCCAAAAATACCAGGTGCCATCAGGAGGTCCAGCAGTGAGGCCAGGACACTAGAAGCTCTCCCACTGCTGACCCCCCCAAGCACCAAGAATACAGAGCATCACTTGCCCCAGAGTCCCTATCTATACCTTGTGGCTAATAGCCACTGATGGACCTCTGCTCCATATGCTTATTTAATTCCCTTTTGAAGCCGTCGATGCTTGTAGCCGCCACCACCTCCCGTGGCAGTGAATTCCATGTGTTAATCACTCTTTGGGTGAAGAAGTACTTCCTTTTATCCGTTCTAACCCAACTGCTCAGCAATTTCATGGAGTGCCCATGAGTTCTTGTATTGTGAGAAAGGGAAAAAAGTGCTTTTTTCTCTACCAACTCTATCCCATGCATAATCTTATAAACCTCAATCATGTCTCCCCTCAAGCTGTCATTCCTCCAAGCTAAAGAGCCCCAATCACTTTAACCTTTCTTCATAGGGAAAGTGTTCCAACCCTTTTATCATTCTAGTTGCCCTTTTTGGCACTTTTTCCAATGCTATAATATCCAGAACGGTGACCAGAACTGTACACAGAACACCTGGGAACCCTAATGAATACAAACACAAGACAACCCCAAAAGACTGAAAACCTATGTGGTACAGTGGTTAGATTTAATACAGAATTAGGAAAATTTGAGTTCAAATTCTCATTCAGCCATCATACTCAGTGAATGTCCTTGAATGTCACTTTATAGTCAAGCCCAATCTACCTCACATGTTATTGTGAAAATAAAATGGGGGGGGGGGGGGCTGGCCCAGGGTTTGCCCATCTGAGCTCCTTGGAAGAAAGCTAGAATAAAAACTTAATAGACTGTAAGAATTCAACAAATATAGTAAATAATCTGAATTTAAAGAATTTGAGATTTTTCTCACTGACATTCACTGAAGCAAAGTAGCACACTTGATTTATTTAGTACCACAGTTAACAGATATTACAAAATTAGAACATATTCTACAGAGCAGTCAGCAATGCAGAAAATGCTACAGATATGAGTCAGTACCTTAAAGGCTTCCAGTTGCTTACAAGCCAAACAGCTTGTTTTGGCTCTCAACAACCTCTCCCCATATGGGACCTACTGTGATCTTTTTAAGCTATTATATAAACACAATTACATTCATTTTATGGGATCAACAGGGACTAGAGAAAAAGCACACTAATCCCAGTGTGAGTGATGGTGTGAGAACCTAGTTTTTGTAATTTGAATATAGGGCTGCAAATATCTTTAGTGTGTTCCTGACATGTGGCCATGCAGCAAAGCTGCAAAATGAATTTTCGCTATAAAACATTTCAATACAGCCAGCAGATAAATAGCACAAGTAAGATTCCTGGCTCATGGAACCTTTTCTTAACTTACCCTGAACTGTTAAAAAAAAGAAGGATCCTGTGTTCATAACGGTAATTTATTACTTGATTGTTTAGCATATTAATATCACCTGAAAAATAGATAGTTTCTAAGAGCTTTGTTGATTAGTTTACTTATCTGAGCATGAAAGCAAGAAAACAGAAGCTAATTCAGCCAATACTATTTGTACAAGTTCAACACATCTTGCATAATACAATGTCTAATTTATGTGTGGAATCACTCTTTGGAAAGCTAAGTAAACATTTCATAATACTGAAAACTGGACAATATGCATAAGTTTTTAGAGTCACATTCTATAACTTTGTAAATACAATTTACTATTGAAGCAACCGGTACAATGTTACATCACTCTGGAGCTTCTATACACAAGTTTGGGCTGGCTTCGGTAAGTAGCTAAAATCTGTGCTTACCCTGCCCCTATCCCGGTGAGGTAGGATCTGATCTCTGCTGTTGTGCTGATCTTTGGAAGCAAGGGTCTTTGAAGCACAGTGTAAAATCATAGAAATGTCCTGTCCTCAGATACAAGCTTAGGAAAAGGAGAGGGGACCACCCATTGTTCAGCAGAGTCTCCTACTCCAACTGGGTGGGTGGGTCTTACAAAGTCAAGAAAGGTGCATTTTCATGAATTTATTTTATTAGTAGCAGTTTGGATTGTTTTAATGGTTAGAGATTAATATGTGTGTGTAGGAAGTATATTGTGTTTTAATGAGCTTCATTTGCATTGGATGTGATAGTTTTATTTGCTCCTAGACAAGCTGATGTCTCAGAGTTATGTGATAAGATTAAATATAAAAATAACAAAAATGTATGATCTCTTTGACAGGACAGGACAGTACTGTGATGTTTCTTGTTTACTAGACTCAAAGGAAATAAGAACATCAGAACAGCCCTGCTGTATCAGACCACCTAGTCCAACAAAAAGCATCTTTAAAGACAAGAAATATGAATGTGCTGGGTTTAAGGCAGGAAGGCACAACATTGTTCTGCACAGTTATAATGCAGGCCTTGGGCTGGCAAATGCTTCAGTCCAAAGTAAACAGGCAACAAGAACAGCACTGATCATCTCTCTCTTTACTTTGGCAACATTTAACTCAGCTCCCTAAATATAGATCTTGTTTTGTGTAAATTGGCTAGTTCTTGCAAGCTACAGTGTCCACTAAAAAGCCATATTCTGATGTTCAACTCCATATATGCTCAACTGATTCTTAACCCTTCCCAGCTAAGCACCAATCAATTTAAAAGGGATCGATCATTTTTAAAAGCAAGCTTTTAAAAAATATTTCAGAATGGATTTTTAAAATGAAAAATAAAACGTGGGAGAAAAAGTAAATGCAATGATGCCTTTATTAACAAGTTACAAAAGTCATAGGTTCAATTCCATAAAATGCAAACAGACCCATCAGAATCTGAGGCATAATCATATTCTCCTTGGAATGACAAGACAAAGCAAAGATGTCTCGTTGAGATCTGAGGGTGGGTGGGTTCCAGTGTAGATGAGCCTTTGGCAGCTTTTCAAGC